CGGAGGATGGAGAAACACGTGTTCCAAAGAGCCCGTAGCCATCACGGCATGAAGCAAAAGACACGAAAAGCTCTGACCAATTCTTAGTTCACTTGAGCGGTAACCGTGGAGCGAGTATTTGACTGAGAGCACTGAAAAATGTCTTCACTACAGCTACTCTAAGATGCCCTGTTGCCCCCACTGTTTGTCAGAAATCCCAGTCGTCGACCTCCAGGTGGCTCAAGCTGGACTCCAGACTGGCCATGACTGTAGGGGAATCAGGAGGCTGGGCACACTCAAAGTTGGTGATGGGAGCCACAGGTCTCAAGAGCTCGGGCAGGGCGTCTGAGGCCCGCCGTTTTATCTGCAGAACAAAGGGAGAGAGAGATCTGATGAGACTCTCCTCTGTAATTGGACCAGCAATGTAACTTATTAGTTATCATCTACACGTTGTCCAACATCACTATAGCATCTAAAGCAAGGTGATGAACAGCTGCAAGATTGGGAGGTCTTTAAAAGGACAATTAGTCATCAAAAACTGCTTTGAATGAAACATGGAGAGAAAATCGACCTTAATGGCAATTAAATTGCCAATGCTGCCAAACAGTTTTGAGAAGTGAAAGTGGGAAGCTGCATCAGCATGAGTAGGAACAAGTAAAGGTTTATTTCATGCTGAAAAAAAGAAGAAAAGAAACTGGAACCTTCTTCGGGTGTCAAAGTACTTAATGTGTACTTAAATAAAGATTCGGCTGTGGAGCCTTCTTCGACACCCAAAGGTTCCAAAGGTTTCTTCTCTTTTCAGTATAGAATAAACCTTTACTTGTTCCCGAACAGTTTTTAGGGCATCTTCTGTAAAGTCAATGCAGAAGCGTGGAGGGCTGTGAATGCAGAGAGAGGCCCATTATAACATGCTGCAAGAAGTAAAGTCATGATTAAAAAGTCTTTCCACCAAATCCCCTTCAAAGATGTTTCTATGGATGTGAAGGAATGTTTCATCTGTAGGCCTTATTTCTGTAGGTTTCATTCTTAGGTCTGTATAGAACAGTAGTGTAAATGATTAGTTATCATCATGGATTATTTATCACTACAGCATCTGAAGCCACTAGACTTTAGGCTTTGCACTGCCTTCCTACTAGGTCATTAAAGACATGGCAGTGTCTGGAAGAGTAGAGGAATATCCTGGTTTCTTCAGCATGCGATGCAGGTGGGTGCAACACTTCAAGGGGTGGATGGCTACACGTAAAGTGCTTTGTGATCCTTTGGAAAGAAAAGCTGCATAACTACAAGAAATTACCTCCTTTTGTAATTTGTCAAATGCAATATTTCACTGGCACAGTAACTCACAGAAATTCAGTGGTTAAATCTTTTGTGCTTCCTTGCGGTCACTGATGTAGCTGTTTTTTCTCCAGGCTGAGAGAATAAGGATTTTATGACAAAAGAAGAGGGTTCTTACCTGCTTGAAAAAGGAATGGCTGAGAAGGGTGCTGGCAGATGGTCTGCAAAAAAAAGAGGGAGAATGCGTGTTGCTACTACTCGATAACAAAAAATAATTCTACACAAATAAATGGGAAGGTAGAAAAACAGGAGAAGGTTACTCTGCCTGATTTGTTTGTCTAGGTACTAGAGCTTCATCAAAATGTTTTATGCAAGGTCCTGATGAGTTTGTGCCAAATATGCATCAATCATTATGTAAAGAAGACACATATTTGCCTGGAATTATAGCTTTGGGCTCTACATAAAATAGTTGATGAAACTGAAAAGAGTCTCTAGGGATCCTTCCATTATCCCTAAACCTGTTAACCTGGTGAGGATCTCAGCAGGCTGGAGCCTATCCAGGGGTGCGTGGTGAGACAGAGCACATGACTGCTCTCCTCCCGGCTGGGTTCCTGGTACACAGGGAGAGGGGCAGTTCAGCGTTGCCAGTGAAACTTGGGTTTTGAACAGAACTGCTCCACGCAGGCAGTTGCGCAAGGCCAGAGTCACACCCAGCACTCACGAGATGTGCGTGTGCAGTGCTAACTCCCGTGCTGTTGTGTCTTTGCATGGATTTTCCTGAAAGCCACGTGCAACACGTGCAGCAGAAGACATGGCAGTGACCGTTTCATCCAGTCAATAACGAGGTTAGTGCTCGGCGGGCCTGGAAGATGGCGGTGTGGCAGGCCTACCTCCTCTCTGGATTCCTCTGCAGACACAGCTCCACAAAGGCATGGAAGTGGCTGCTGAAGGTGCGATTGTAGGGGTGCTGGCTGGGTTCCCCGTTAGCGTGGCGGGTGCTGCAGGCCCCTGTGCCCTCGCAGATGCCCGAGTCGGCCCCCGACCTGGACGGCTTCATGGTGAGTTCCTCCGGAGGGATGGTGCTGGTGTCCAAGAGGCAGGGCACTGTGCCATTCAGCTTCTCCAAGAGCATCTGGGACGGGGAGAGAAGAAGTCGGGTTAGATTAAATTACACAATGGCAAGAATCACTGTTATTCAGTTCAGCGCCATTGCAACAGTATCCCTGCTTATCCCCATGGAACCACCGACTGCAACCACAAACCTGAGTTGCAGGCATATCCTTAAAGGGCACATGTCCATTGGCCAGCTCACAGGCAGTGATCCCAAGACTGTATATATCAGAACGAGCATCGTAACCCTGCAAATTCTGAAAAAGAGAGGGGCACGGTGAGAGGTTGGGAACTACTTTCAAGAAGAGTGGTGGTGTCCTTCAGGTGTTTCTTTTATTTTTAAGCAGCTATATTCAGCACGAACGGAAACGATGACAGAGCTGCTTACCTGTTGCAGGACCTCCGGGCTCAGCCAGGGCAGCACTTTGACACTGTACTGGGGAAAGTCGTGCACCACGCGTGCACGCTGGCCGTGGCGGATCAGGCTGAAGATACTGCGCAGGCCAGACAGGAAGACCTGACCGTCGGCCGAGATCAGCACGTGACTGGCCTTCACACTCCTGCCGGGCGCACACGAGGACGAGCAAGCCGTTACGAGGAATCGCAACTCCCCCAACGCACAACTGTTCAATCCATTTCAGGCTTTACAATCCACAAGCTTTCGTGCAAGCCAACACGTGGCTCTAGGTGTTTCACGCTTGACGACCATGTTTAAAGGTTGTGAAATATTACTTTTCTGCTTCTCTTGCAAGATTTGTATAGATGCCCAGAGCTGGTAAAAGCTGAAATCAAATCATGAAATCACTGCTGAACAATCAGTGTCAGATCTGTTCCACTGTTTTGACTTAATCGATTCTATTCACCCCTGGCCTGGAGCGTCACTGCTCTGCAGGTTTTACAGCAATCGGCTCAAACACAAGACCTATGAATGTAGAGCTTGCAGGTCAGTCCCATTAACTAAAAAACTCCAGTGGAAAACCACAAAACTCCATGGCTCTACAGAATCACCGAAGATGTTCAGAGTAACATTGGAATTTAACTTACAAGTTCATCAGGCAGAAGCAAGTTGCTGATCAACACTGTGCAATGCTAAACACTAATCGAGATATGGGTCAGATGATATTCTGATCTGCTGTGTACAGGGACTGCTGGTGCAGGAAGGCATCCAGTATACATAAAATTATACTTAAAAAAAAAGTTTGAAATATGACAAACAAAAAAACGTTTTGAGATGTTTCATTCACTTTTACCAAGAGCTACACTGTGTGTACCTTCTTGCCCCCCGTTTTAACAATCCTTGCTAACATCTAGCTCAGCTCACCTGTGCACGTATCCCATGTGGTGGATATAGTCCAGAGCTTTGAGAATACCCTGCAGAATGTATGCGATAGCCAGCTCATTCATGCCATCTGTGAAGTGGGTACTGATCAGGTCCTTGGCAGAGCCTGTGATGACATCAGGGCAAATTACATTTTATCTTCCCAAAAAAAACTTCTTATATGAATATTTTGTGCATGGCAAGCCTAGAATTCTGTGCAACATGTCATGGGACTTTCAATGTTCACGGTGTTGGGCTTCTTTTGACATTTCATCTGAATGACAGCAGAGATCCCAACACCATCAAGACACAGACACTCGTTTGAAATGTCTGGTCCCCCCCAAAAAAAAACAGCATCACATACTGGTCTTCCAAAAGCCATGAAAATGTCTTCCTTTTTCCTTTGTGTACTAGCTAGGGAGCAAGTAAAGGTTAATTCCACGTTGCAAAGTAGAAGAAACAGGCATTATGGCTGGTTAGCCTTCTTTTGATATCACAGACAAAATGTTGTCTTTCTACTTTTCACCATGAAATTACCCGTTGTACATAATTTGGACAAAATTCTTTCAACACAGTAATTTTCACATCAGATAGTTTGGGGTATGCATTTTTGGAGCAGCTCGAAAAGCTTGAATAGTGGAAAATTCAATAGACTATTTTAAGAGGGTACTATTCCAGCGTTAAGAGAATGAGTCCCATTTTTAATGCAGTTTCCAATTCAGTCTTAAGGCTCTCTCTTGATTTTTGGATGGTTTTATGTGTTATTTTCTCAAGGACTCAGCCTTTCAAAATGTACTTCTCAACACTCCAAAGAGAACGTATTGATCAGATTTATCCAAGCTTAAAAGATCTGGATATACACCTCAGCAATTACAATGCTGGCTATGCATGAACAGTAATATCCAAAGCAACAGAGCTGGACAATACAAAAGATGTGGTGCACACGCATGTACTGCAGACCCCCCCC